AAATACAGGGCAGATAACCACGGTAGCCGGCAGCTTATCGGATACACGGAGGGGGGGGGGGAGAGATAACGTAACCATTCCACGAGCACTGGTTTACACATGTACAACAGCACCTGATACAGGTACCACAGCAGCTGACACAGGTACAACAGCACCTGACACAGGTACAACAGCACCTGACACAGGTACAACAGCACCTGACACAGGTACAACAGCACCTGACACAGGTACAACAGCAACTGACACAGGTACCAGAGCAGCTGACACAGGTACCACAGCAACTGACACAGGTACCACAGCAACTGACACAGGTACCACAGCACCTGACACAGGTACCACAGCAACTGACACAGGTACCACAGCAACTGACACAGGTACCACAGCAACTGACACAGGTACCACAGCAACTGACACAGGTACCAGAGCAGCTGACACAGGTACCACAGCAACTGACACAGGTACCACAGCAACTGACACAGGTACCACAGCAACTGACACAGGTACCACAGCAACTGACACAGGTACCACAGCAACTGACACAGGTACTACAGCACCTGACACAGGTACTACAGCACCTGACACAGGTACCACAGCACCTGACACAGGTACCACAGCAACTGACACAGGTACCACAGCAATTGACACAGGTACCACAGCAACTGACACAGGTACCACAGTGTGATGACGCAAGGTTGCGTCGAGCTCAGGTAGATAGCAGAAGCAGGCTATAGCAAGTTGGTCAGACTAGTCAGAGAGAGAGACCAATAAAAATACGCGAACTGACCGGTCACGTGGGAGGGTCAGCTGACCACTGAGGCGTGGGTCAGTAGTAGAGAGATAGGACAGGAGTTGATGATTAGCTAGCGAGGAGAGAAGGTGTTAGGAAGCGGTTAGAGACGGTCGTAATATGTAGAGCTAGGGAACAGAAAGTTAGTGTTAGGATTGGTCATGGGAGTGCGTAGTTAGTAGTATAGTGAACAGTTAGTAGTAGTAGGTAGCATGTGGTATAGACAGTCAGATAGAAGTAGTACAGTGTAGATTAGTTAGGTAGAAAATTGATTATATACATTTGAATAAAGAACATTTTGATTTTCAACTTGGAACCTGTGTTGGATATTTCTGTCATCATCATTCATTCATCGTAAAACATTCGTACCATCACACACAGCAACTGACACAGGTACCACAGCAACTGACACAGGTACCACAGCAACTGACACAGGTACCACAGCAACTGACACAGGTACTACAGCACCTGACACAGGTACTACAGATGGCAGACTATGAAAGGCGGTGTAACGGGAACCTTGCCGCTGGTAGGATGAGAGGTTATGTGTTACTATCTTCTGCTTTAGAAAATAAAAAACGTTATCAAATAAATGAAATTAAGTGTAACGAAAACAGTCAACTTTTGTGAGCTAAGAGAAAAGGCGTGGGGGGGGGGGGATGTGTGAAGAGAAAAAGCAGAAGCCAATAAAAACGATGAGATGCTACGTTTCAGTTCCCGTCAAAATCGTGCATTTTCGGAGATTCTTAGACAGAGATATCAGTTTCAGGAAGTGTGTAGGGTTCCTTCAATCTGGGCCCTTCTCAGGTAACAATAGGTGTACTTATGTAGGTCACACTCTGCCCCAGTGGCGATGAATCAGGGGGGGGGGGAATTTCTCTGCTCGGTATTCGTATAACATGAGTGGTAAAAACTTTTTTAATATTAGAGTTGATGGAAAACAGAAAGTTTAAGTGGTCAGATGAATTTTTTTTGTTTACAGCTGTTCACATTTTAACGTCAAAGTGAGGTCTGCGATCTGTTGCTTGAGGTCAGTTCTCTGGTCATTTCACGGTCACAAAGACCAGTTGACCGTGAAGGTTTACATTTACTAACTGACCCATCAGGACTGGTCAGAGATCTTAATCCCACTGCCGACCAGAAGACAGTTGTTTGCAGTGGTGCACGCATGCGCATGGTGTGTGAAGACGTCTTTAAGGGGAGGGGCGCTTTACACAAAGTGATTAACACCGTAATAATAGTTAATAATAGTTACGGATGTGTCTATTACGGGGAATAAGAAAAAAACGTGCCGAATTTCAACGCCTTGAAATGGGTTTGGCTAGTTTTGGACTGTCAGACAAAAATAGCTCATTCTACTAACAAAACTGGCTAGGGCACATTGCAATACCGGGAAGCAAAAACTTAACCGTTTAGGCAATTTTTAAAAAATTACTTTAATTTTTTTTTTTCATGTCTGCCAAGTGCGCTGAAAACGAAGATAATTTTTAACGCAGTATTTGTATAAAAAAATTGGCGTACTGAGTGCAGGTAGAGAGATAAAAATAATTCTGGCGTTTGCTGAAGTCAGCTCACATCAACGTCTGCAGCACCTAGAGAGTCACTGGAGCTAATTACGTCATCACCGCTCGCCGCTGCCAACAATGACAACAGTCGGTGTAACAGTAGCTTCCCCTTTTTACAGGGCTCTGCTCAACATAGGAGCGGACGAAAATAAACTGGAAACAAAGAGCGGTGTACACCGGGTGGGATAAACTTGGCCTGGTGGGACTAGCACCATGGCTGATTGGGGATTCTATGGCTTCATAAAAAATAATCTACATTTAACTACACATCGTGATTTGGATGACTATTTAATCACTAGGTTAAATTGTGTACTATTTTTTCTAGTTAATAATTATAGACCCAGATATTATATCTTAAACTCGCAGAATACTTCAATAAGTGAGTAAAAAGTAAAGTTTCCCTCTCAAACCTGGCGGTCTATGGGGCAAGTGAAGTAGAGTTCACTTGTTTCTGTGACCTCGGCATATGAAGAGATAATGTGGTCAGCACTATGCCCAGCCGCCTTTACTTTCCCTAACAGGAGTTAGGTACCCATCAGAGTTGGGTGGACTCAGGGACGGTCTACTGACTTGAACCCGGATTCGAACTCGAGACTTACGGGTTAGCAGTCCAGCTCTCTACCTCTAGGCCACTCCGTCCCATCAAGTGAGTACAAAGTATAAACTAAACTGCCTTTTATTATTGGTAGATGTTCCATCTCTGTTGGCTTGGTAGATGTTCCATCTTTCCATCTCTGTAGGTGTTTTGGATGTTCCATTTTTCCATCTCTGTAGGTGTTTTGGATGTTCCGTCTCATGTTACCTCGAGGCTCTCGTGGTTTATAAAGAAAATCCTATCACCTGGCATATCAATCAAAAGGGGCGTGTCCTATTGATCAGTGGCAGATGGTGATCCAGTGAGCAGCCAAATTAAGCATGCACCGACCACCTCCCCGACCCCTCAGCCACAATGGCACCATCAATCTTCCACGGCCATACAGTAATCAAGTTCGGATAGAACCAACTTCTGTCAGCTATTCATTTTTTTTTTTTACTTGGACAGTTAATTTACGAGTCTCAATGACGGATAACACACTGCTATTTATAAACTTGTCCAGTTTAAAAAGTCCGAACTTAGCGGCGTCAACAGATCTGGACATTACTCGCCAGGTGGTATGTGGTCTGAGTGTGATGGACAGGCACTTGCTGTCGTGACCATCACATGCCGCGGCATTCAATAACCCCGCGAAATTTAAACCCGAGCCTTTAGCTGCTAGTGCTGAATGGACTACCCAAGTTTTTCTGCTACTGTTGTATGGCCTGTGTACCGCCTTATTTTTTTAAACAAACTGGGAGCTTTACAGGCAACCAATGAAACAAAGAAGATGAAATAAAATACAAACAAGGGAGTGTCAGATAAACTCCAGAGTGTCGTTCTAAGAAAACACTGGAATGTTACGACTAGTTACGTTGTGTTACGGTGTAACCCTGAGGTAAATGGTTGACCTAGCATGACATTGTAGCCTGACTCTGGTATACCCAACGTCATAAGTCTATATCTGACCCAGTATGACATATTCTTCTAGCCACCCCCCCCCTCCAAACATAAAACGGCACATGCCTATCGAACGGGGTCAACACGCCCGAGTACTGAATAAATAAACCGTTGTGCAACGTACACAGTCCAACGGTTGTCGGTTTTAGCTTTTTGTTTCCTTTCGGCGCATTCGGTACACACTCGACAGTTTATTTGCCCGTCCACCACTCCAATGCATGTGGCCCAACCCCCGGGATCACGTTATGACTTTAGCTAGGCAGCCTCAGACATCAAAGGTTGATAGAGGACAACCCCCGGGACATGTGTTGGGCCGGGGCAAACAGTTACCTGGTCATGGACATTTGATTTCGGAATCAAACACATCTGTTGTTTATCTTTGGAAACTTTCGCTGATAAGGTACATGCGGCAAGCCAGTTGGGGAAAGTACATGGACGTTAAAAAAAGTGAAAGAAGCTGTTACAAAATAAATGTGATAAAAAAGTTTAAAGAGAGATTTTGATCTACACTAGGCTTAGATTCTAGTTCTACGTCAGACAAAAAGTAGACTGTTTTCTGTAATTCTTACGGTTCTTACAAATTGCGTCCAGTGTCCAGTCAGTAGTTAGAGTTAAACTATCTATCTAGATTCAATCTATCACAACCAGGGTAAATTAAATTTTGTATGTAACCTAACTTTATCTAATAAACATCTCTATGTTAGCCTACTAGCTTAACACTGAAAACCTAAAAGAACTTTATATAGGCCTAGATCTAGATCTAATCTAAATCTAGAAAATCTAGACTAGATCTAAGCCTAGCCATCTAGAATACTCTAGGTCTAGATCTCTATACTACTACTAATAATATTAATATTAGGTCTACAGACCTATAATTCAAAATAGGCCTATGTAATTCTTAATGCTATAGTATAATAGTATAGTATAAATAAACTAATAGTAGGCCTGTATATTTAAATTCATGTAGGCCTAATGCCTAACCTTACCTAAACTCAAAACTAGGCCTAGAGATCTAGAAATCTAGACTACTAGACTAGGGGGCTGGGCTTAGTAAATAAATAAACTACACCAACAGGTAAGTTGACTTTTTAACTGGAAGTGCGTTGTAACTTACCTGACTCATGTTGGTAGTTCTAGGTGTAATATCAATGCGTCAGCGTTTCTCCTACTCTAGATCTACATAACACAGGTAAAGATAAAAATAACACGCTCCATACTGTTGTACTGAAGAGTATCCTTTTCTCGGCAACAATAAATAAATTAATCCTTTTCTAATCTGCTCATGATGTATGTAAATCCATCAATGTAAGAATTTGAATGTGTGAGTCCTTACACATTACACACAGCCCCTTTGAGAAAAAAGAAACAAGCGATTGTTTAGACACAGCGACCGGGCGGTAACTGCACGAATACGTGAACAACGTGAAGTTTCCACTGCGATGGCACATTCGGGGTTTCCGAACCGCCAAGCGAAGCAGACTACACAGGGTGGTGTTGTGTCGAGTTTTGCCAGCCTCGATCCCAACGTCAGAGCCCCGGATATATCAACATTTGCACCTATGGGGAAAACCACCAATGAAAATTCAAAATCATGTCTAAAAATGGCAACCAATGGAAAAATAGTGGTGTTCTATTTTTGGAACAATAGAACCTCGATATTGATTTTGAAACTTCGTAACCGCTCATTTGTTTCGCCGAGGTCTTTATGCTATTTTGAGGCAATGAGTAATTCCAAGATGATTGGTGGAATTAAGAAACGTAACGATTGCTCAATCTACAATGGAAAAAACAATAACATGTGGAAATGTAATTAAGATAGTGAATAAAACAACATTAAAGTATGTTGCCTTTGGTTGAATTTTAACAATACTTTACCTAAGTTATAAACTACAATTAAAGTATAGATTAATAGTCGGCGTAAGTCCAATTAGGGTTTCTTTCAGATGTTTTTCTCCGGGGTGGGGGAGGGGGTCACATTAAAATTCCGGGGAGGGGGAGGCGGCCGGGGGTGGGGGGACGCTAGTTGAAGTCAGTGTTTCTTCCAGACTTTTTTCTCCGGGGCGGTAGACTTTCTTCTTCTTCTACTTTCATCTCTTCCCCCGAAGAAACTCTGGGTGAAGTATATAGAGAGCCTATATATTTTAAGAATTATACAATGTTTCATTTCGTTCTGGGGGGGGGGGGGGGAGAGGAGGTGCTCCGTCGGTAGTGCCTTCCCCCCTGATGAGATGCTTAAATGAGATTTTGAGTCTAATTTTTAATGTATTATGTCGACACAAGGAAGAAGAAGAGTGTACGTGAGTGTATGTGCGTGAGTGTATGTGCGTGAGTGTGTGTGTGTGTGTATCTAAAGAAGACTTTAAACTGGTGGTAAGGTGGGGTTCGGAAATATATTGGAAATTGGCATATAAATAACATGTTTAGATCTAGTAGGTATATATTGGAAATTGGCATATAAATAACATGTTTACGGAAGTCCCCATTGAGTCTGGGGAGGGGGGGGGTCCAAAATGGACGCTGGTGGACAGCAGCTGGTCATGTATCTAAACAAATGTTTTGCAGACGTCATAAATGGATTGACCCCACAGCTTCTGAACGTTTGTTGATCTAACGAGGGGATTGTGCGACTATTAGGCAACAAACAGTCTGCACAAGCACATTTAAGCATCGTTATTGAACAAACTGCTACTATAAACTAATGAAAGCTAGTCACACTAGGTAGATAATGTGTGTGTAGGGGGGGGGGGGGGGTTAATCAGTTTTAAATGTTTGTGTCCCCGTGTGGTTTAGTGAGTAGAGATTAATTAATGATAAGAATCACACACAACCAGAGGAAACTTGCTTGTAAAAATAAAATCATTTGAAATTGATCACACATTTTCTTCAGAGTTGATCACGTGTTATAGAACAGCCTATATGTAAATAATTTTAAAATAACCTCATTTTGAGGTCGATGTATCGCCTTCATCTGGTGGCATCTGCAGGTGTAAATTGTAAGCACATAGAGTCTATAGGTTTTTTTGTCAGAGGGCGATTGTTGTCTATTAATTACTAAATGTACAAATGGAAATGTTGGATGGCAAGGATAAATTCTATCAAAGAAAAGTAACTCTAGATTAGATATTTTCGTTGTCAAAATACAAGAGTTACCGTTATTTGAGACAAAACATTTTTTTTGTGTGTCTAACTTAATGACTTGATTGTTTTTAAAATATGATTGGAAACACAACTGTCGTTACAAAGTAGAGAAAGTGAGCAGTGCAAAAATTATCAGGCCGATAAAAAAACTCTTCTTCTGTAAGGTCAACAAATCAGATTGGGAAAAAATCACTCGAAAAAAAAAATTATTTGCTCCGAGTTCGCTAATAAATTTAAATTGACGTATATTTTGTTAGGTATTTAAAAATTGCTCATCAATATACTTTAATTAATAGTAATTTTTAAAAATTAGATTTGGTTTCATTCAAGAATTGAACGCAGAGTTTCTTCCAGGCATCTCTTTTTTTACCGCCCCCCCCCCCCCCCGAACGAAATGAAATTTATATAATTTATATAGAAAATATATACTTTTAACAGTGTCCTCCCACCCGAAGAAAGTCTACCGCCCCCCCCCCCCCCGGAAATTTCAAGTACCCCCCCCCCCCCCCCCCCGAGAAAAAAGTCTGGAAGAAACACTGATTGAACGAATGTTCAAATCAACTATGTTTAGGATTCATCCTCAGTTTTTAAATACTATTGACTTTAAATGTAAAGACGTAATTAAAAGGAAGTTTTGTCCCCATTTGATCTCAATAAAATATCAGCCACATTTATTACCCAAATGTACCTTTAATATAGCAACCACGTTAGGGGTATAATGACTGGTAAAAGTTGAGGAGGGTGGACCAACGTGAATAACTTTACATTAAGTGAAGGGGGGGGGTGTGATAGTTCACCAGGGCTTCAAAATAAGTTGATACGCCTCTGATAATGGACCAAGTACATCAATAAATGAGTTTATGTACAAATTAATACCATTTATTATATTACACGTTTAAAGTTTTGGCTTATTTGGGTACATGTCTTTATAAAAGGGCAGAAAATTATCAGCTTTTATTTAGCGTTAGAGAACTAGACTGCTAACCCAAGAGTCTCGATTTTGAATAAGGGTTCAAATCAGTGGAACGTACCTGAGTCCACCCAACTCTGATGGGTAAGTAATTTACGTTAGGGAAAGCAAAGGCGGCTGGGTATAGTGATGACCACATTATCCCTTCATATACCGAGGTCTACTTCATCTGCCCCGTGTGTCTTGGGCACGAACGAGAAATGATGATGATGTAGTTCACAACTCCTGTTTGTTTGTGGGTTTGTGGAAAATCTTGTGACTCAGTTTTGACCCATGGCTAATGCAGCGATTTTGAAAATTTTGTTCAAATTTTCCGAACGCGTTTGTCTTTGCTGACAATGCAACCATGCAAGAATATCTGATTTTTAATTAAATTAGGCATTGTATTAGTAATGACAAATTAATTTAAATAAATAACTATATTTTAAAAAAATGGAAGACAACAACCGCTTTAATCTGAGGTGATTACTCAACCACTCTGTTTACGTACGTTTGTAACGGACAGCTGGTTGCTACGGACGTTAACGAGGGGGCAGATACGATAACTGACTTTTCGAGATCGCGAGCTACTGATTAAATTTCAAAGCAAAATTTTTAGTCGTATGTGGTGTCGATTTAATAATAACGAATTACTAAAAACCAAAAAATATATAAGCATAGTTAAAATTCCCCCCCCCCCCCTTTTTTTTAGCGACCAATGATTTTATTAAAGAAAGCGGTGTTTTTTTTTTCAGTTTTAAAATTGTTTTTGTTCAATTTTTATCTTGAACCGTTTATTATATTGAGGTGAGTGGGTGGACAAGGGAATATTTATTGGTGGATGTAATTAAAAAAAGAACATTTAATTGTGAAATCATTTTTTTAATTGCTGTATTTCATAGTAAACTGGTCCAATAGTGGCTCACACGATTTCATATTTGCCATTGTAAGGCTATACTGCATTTTACCGTTGCTATTTTTTTTCTCTTAGAATAACATGATGATGTAAAAATGTTTTATTTTAAACCTAGAAAAACTTGGTCTACCATGAAGTCAAGGAACATAGGATTGTTTCCCTTTAAATGTCAGGCGTGTGGGAAAGGCGTCATCTACAACACACTGCAGACCCACATGCTGACACACACCAACCACAGGCCACATGCTGACACACACCAACCACAGGCTGACACACACCAACCACAGGCCATATGCTGACACACACCAACCACAGGCCACATGCTGACACACACCAACCACAGGCCACATGCTGACACACACCAACCACATGCTGACACACACCAACCACAGGCCACATGCTGACACACACCAACCACAGGCCACAAGCTGACACACACCAACCACAGGCCACATGCTGACACACACCAACCACAGGCCACATGCTGACACACACCAACCACAGGCCACATGCTGACACACACCAACCACATGCTGACACACACCAACCACAGGCCACATGCTGACACACACCAACCACAGGCCACATGCTGACACACACCAACCACATGCTGACACACACCAACCACAGGCCACATGCTGACACACACCAACCACAGGCCACATGCTGACACACACCAACCACAGGCCACATGCTGACACACACCAACCACAGGCCACATGCTGACACACACCAACCACAGGCCACATGCTGACACACACCAACCACAGGCCACATGCTGACACACACCAACCACAGGCCACATGCTGACACACACCAACCACAGGCCACATGCTGACACACACCAACCACAGGCCACATGCTGACACACCAACCACAGGCCACATGCGTGTGACATTTGTGGCCACATGCGTGTGACATTCTTGAATTATAAAACTCATTCATCTTATTTTGTGAAGCTATAACCGTTGCATTGCTATATTATAGTTGTGAATGAAGATAATTAAACATACACTTGTTTTGGTGTTCTGTAATGTTTTCTTCTCATTATGGTGAATATCATTCACTTAAATCACGCTGGTTTATATCATTGTAGCTTTTAGAAATTCTACTTTGATTAGTTACCAAATGTTTTCAAGTGCACCACAATTCTATATAGTGAAGAACTTTAAGGAGTTCGAAAAGACACAATCAAGTGAATTTTTCTAACGTACCAGAATGAATGACTCAACTATTTGTCAGAAGATAATTGTTCATTACAGTCACATACTGTAAAACAAAAAGACAAAGGCTTTAGAAAAAATATATAACTATATTTGTATTTAAGTTAATAAGTTTAAATATGTTTACAATAAATAACAAGAGGCAACAAATCGAACATAAGTGAATGTGTCACTAAAGCTGGAACTACATTAAGTTTTTAACATACCAGGTAACTATTTGATGAATACAAATATTTAAGTATCAAAAAGCTGCCTTGACATCATAACTTTAGTCACCATGGAAAGGGAGGTAATATCAACATTCTTTGAGCAACTCAAAAAGTTTCTACAAGTTTCCTTGGTTTGAGGTAAGCGAAAACAAATTGCTAGTAACAAGAAACAGGTAGGCAACAAAATTAATGTGCTCATTGAAGAACAAGAAAAAAAATTCATTTAAAAACTTTACAAATGTATGTACAAATTACAAAAAGTGACTAAAATAGGTGGTTAATATAGGAGACAAAATAATAAAAATGGTAAAAAGGGAAGTAATAAAAAGTAGTTTGCTTGAATATAATTAATTACTTAAGTAAAAATTAAATAAATTGTAAATATACTTTTAAAAAATGTATAAACATACAGAAAGCTTATACAAATACAGTATAGGTATCAGGTGTTCAAAGGATTCATCATCATTTTGATTAATCATCAACATTTTATTAAGTAATGTCAGTTGAAGTCTCCTTTCACTGAACTTAAAACTAGATTATACAATTACCCTGAATTATTCTCATCCCATCCTTACATTAAATATAACCAATAATGGTTGCATCCATTTTCTTTTGATTTTTTTGCTTTGATTTTTTTTTTCACCAAGACCAAAGATTTTATGTCATTTCTCATATTTGTTCCTTCATTTTATAAAATTTATGTTTTTAACAGATTTAAACTTTTTAAACTTCAATGTAGCATACAGTCCTGTCTTATATTTGTATATGAATGTATTTATTTATAAGTACAAGATAATAAAAGGAGAAAACATACAATAACAATGTGTAAGTGAAATATTTCACAAAACTATGGGTAACAATTGGAATGCTTAATCAACATTTGCATATTGCACAGGAGAAAGATCATGGTAATTAAATCTTTATATAAAAAATATAATACTATTATACTCTATATTACAGCTTACATAATTAGAGTTGATATATCACATTTTATAATTACTAACAATCTTTGGTGTAACCAGTTCACTTTATAAAATCAAAGTGAGAGAGAGATAGAATATACAAGGAATAAATAGAATTTACACAGAAGGTTATAAATTTAAAATAATATTTTAAATATTATGCAACAAAATGCTTAGGTGCAGCTAGATTTTTAAAAACGATGACAACATTCTGAAGTCTTCAATCTCTACAAATAGAAATAATGAAAGATTTAAAAATTTTCAATATGCATTGTAGACAATGGCTTTACAGCGGTTTACAATTATACAAGATGCCATAGACAACTGTATTGTCTAATAATATCTTTATCTACTAAAGTTATCTTTCCATCCATTGGTGTTTTAACTAGAACCAGCTAGTAAAGGTGTCTTGTCATCTACCTGATCAGGTGCTAGTGTACTATACCTTCCAGTCACCTCCCCATGGGAAAGTAGACTTGACGTGTCGTTGTACACAGCACTAACATTTCTGCTGGCCTGTGGAACTTCCCTGTGCTGATGAGGAACATCAAAGCTTCGAGCCTACAGAAGCAAAATCAAATGCTTCATTTAAATTATAGACATGATGCAGAAATACTATAGACAATGAAGTATATTTTAAAAAGAGATTTATTCTTTACTTGCTACTGTTGTTTATTTTTTCTTAAGGGGACATAACCTACATTGGTGATTTTTGCCAAAAATATTGTATTGTTGCCCTTTGTAAAGAAAAAGGCTGGTTTAGCCAAACGCTATATATTTACATATTTAATGAAATTTTAGCAATTTTTAGCCAATATTACATTCCTTTTTTCAATTTTCATAACAATTCACACAAACAGGTGAAAAAAGCCTTGTTATTCAATTTCTTAAAATGCTAAATAGTGTCTTATTTGACACACCCTCATGATAAGTCTGAATTCCCCCCCCCCCCCCCTCTCCTTCCACTTGATGTGATGTGTATGGGACAACCACTAAGCTAAGTTTCTGCTTTAAAAAAAAATTTTTTGCAAGTTTAGACTGATACAAATAAAAAAAAACTTTTGCTGACATAAGAATTGCAATAAAAACTAAATACGTATGGACACATAATGTAGTGACTTACATTAATTTTACATTTCCGATAAATAATTGTCGCGAGTGAAGCAAGAACCATGACGCCACCTAAGCAGATGAGAGCTATCTTGACAATAAAAGCAATTTTGATGGGAGTGAAGAGTTGGTCCTTCAGCATGTCAGCATGCTTGTCATCAGTCACAGAGCTCTGGGGTAACATGAAAACATTGGCTCATGGTTTAAACTCACAAATAAATACAAGAGATGAAAACATTGGCTCATGGTTTAAACTCACAAATACAAGAGATGAAAACATTGGCTCATGGTTTAAACTCACAAAGTAATAAAAGAGATGAAAACATAGGCTCATGGTTTAAACTCACAAAGTAATAAAAGAGATGAAAACATTGGCTCATGGTTTAAACTCACAAAGTAATAAAAGAGATGAAAACATTGGCTCATGGTTTAAACTCACAAAGTAATAAAAGAGATGAAAACATTGGCTCATGGTTTAAACTCACAAAGTAATAAAAGAGATGAAAACATTGGCTCATGGTTTAAACTCACAAATACAAGAGATGAAAACATTGGCTCATGGTTTAAACTCACAAATACAAGAGATGAAAACATTGGCTCATGGTTTAAACTCACAAATACAAGAGATGAAAACATTGGCTCATGGTTTAAACTCACAAATACAAGAGATGAAAACATTGGCTCATGGTTTCAACTCACAAATACAAGAGATGAAAACATTGGCTCATGGTTTAAACTCACAAATAAATAAAAGAGATGAAAACATTGGCTCATGGTTTAAACTCACAAATAAATACAAGAGATGAAAACATTGGCTCATGGTTTAAACTCACAAATACAAGAGATGAAAACATTGGCTCATGGTTTAAACTCACAAATACAAGAGATGAAAACATTGGCTCATGGTTTAAACTCACAAAGTAATAAAAGAGATGAAAACATAGGCTCATGGTTTAAACTCACAAAGTAATAAAAGAGATGAAAACATTGGCTCATGGTTTAAACTCACAAAGTAATAAAAGAGATGAAAACATTGGCTCATGGTTTAAACTCACAAAGTAATAAAAGAGATGAAAACATTGGCTCATGGTTTAAACTCACAAAGTAATAAAAGAGATGAAAACATTGGCTCATGGTTTAAACTCACAAAGTAATAAAAGAGATGAAAACATTGGCTCATGGTTTAAACTCACAAATACAAGAGATGAAAATATTGGCGCATGGTTTAAACTCACAAATACAAGAGATGAAAACATTGGCTCATGGTTTAAACTCACAAATACAAGAGATGAAAACATTGGCTCATGGTTTAAACTCACAAAGTAATAAAAGAGATGAAAACATTGGCTCATGGTTTAAACTCACAAATACAAGAGATGAAAACATAGGCTCATGGTTTAAACTCACAAATACAAGAGATGAAAACATAGGCTCATGGTTTAAACTCACAAATACAAGAGATGAAAACATAGGCTCATGGTTTAAACTCACAAATAAATAAAAGAGATGAAAACATTGGCTCATGGTTTAAACTCACAAATAAATAAAAGAGATGAAAACATTGGCTCATGGTTTAAACTCACAAATAAATACAAGAGATGAAAACATTGGCTCATGGTTTAAACTCACAAATACAAGAGATGAAAACATTGGCTCATGGTTTAAACTCACAAATACAAGAGATGAAAACATTGGCTCATGGTTTAAACTCACAAATACAAGAGATGAAAACATTGGCTCATGGTTTAAACTCACAAATAAATAAAAGAGATGAAAACATTGGCTCATGGTTTAAACTCACAAATAAATACAAGAGATGAAAACATTGGCTCATGGTTTAAACTCACAAATAAATACAAGAGATGAAAACATTGGCTCATGGTTTAAACTCACAAATACAAGAGATGAAAACATTGGCTCATGGTTTAAACTCACAAAGTAATAAAAGAGATGAAAACATAGGCTCATGGTTTAAACTCACAAAGTAATAAAAGAGATGAAAACATTGGCTCATGGTTTAAACTCACAAAGTAATAAAAGAGATGAAAACATTGGCTCATGGTTTAAACTCACAAAGTAATAAAAGAGATGAAAACATTGGCTCATGGTTTAAACTCACAAAGTAATAAAAGAGATGAAAACATTGGCTCATGGTTTAAACTCACAAATACAAGAGATGAAAACATTGGCTCATGGTTTAAACTCACAAATACAAGAGATGAAAACATTGGCTCATGGTTTAAACTCACAAATACAAGAGATGAAAACATTGGCTCATGGTTTAAACTCACAAATACAAGAGATGAAAACATTGGCTCATGGTTTAAACTCACAAATACAAGAGATGAAAACATTGGCTCATGGTTTAAACTCACAAATAAATAAAAGAGATGAAAACATTGGCTCATGGTTTAAACTCACAAATAAATACAAGAGATGAAAACATTGGCTCATGGTTTAAACTCACAAATACAAGAGATGAAAACATTGGCTCATGGTTTAAACTCACAAATACAAGAGATGAAAACATTGGCTCATGGTTTAAACTCACAAAGTAATAAAAGAGATGAAAACATAGGCTCATGGTTTAAACTCACAAAGTAATAAAAGAGATGAAAACATTGGCTCATGGTTTAAACTCACAAAGTAATAAAAGAGATGAAAACATTGGCTCATGGTTTAAACTCACAAAGTAATAAAAGAGATGAAAACATTGGCTCATGGTTTAAACTCACAAAGTAATAAAAGAGATGAAAACATTGGCTCATGGTTTAAACTCACAAAGTAATAAAAGAGATGAAAACATTGGCTCATGGTTTAAACTCACAAATACAAGAGATGAAAACATTGGCGCATGGTTTAAACTCACAAATACAAGAGATGAAAACATTGGCTCATGGTTTAAACTCACAAATACAAGAGATGAAAACATTGGCTCATGGTTTAAACTCACAAAGTAATAAAAGAGATGAAAACATTGGCTCATGGTTTAAACTCACAAATACAAGAGATGAAAACATTGGCTCATGGTTTAAACTCACAAATACAAGAGATGAAAACATTGGCTCATGGTTTAAACTCACAAATACAAGAGATGAAAACATTGGCTCATGGTTTAAACTCACAAATACAAGAGATGAAAACATTGGCTCATGGTTTAAACTCACAAATACAAGAGATGAAAACATTGGCTCATGGTTTAAACTCACAAATACAAGAGATGAAAACATTGGCTCATGGTTTAAACTCACAAATACAAGAGATGAAAACATTGGCTCATGGTTTAAACTCACAAATACAAGAGATGAAAACATTGGCTCATGGTTTAAACTCACAAATACAAGAGATGAAAACATTGGCTCATGGTTTAAACTCACAAATACAAGAGATGAAAACATTGGCTCATGGTTTAAACTCACAAATACAAGAGATGAAAACATTGGCTCATGGTTTAAACTCACAAATACAAGAGATGAAAACATTGGCTCATGGTTTAAACTCACAAATACAAGAGATGAAAACATTGGCTCATGGTTTAAACTCACAAATACAAGAGATGAAAACATTGGCTCATGGTTTAAACTCACAAATACAAGAGATGAAAACATAGGCTCATGGTTTAAACTCACAAATACAAGAGATGAAAACATAGGCTCATGGTTTAAACTCACAAATACAAGAGATGAAAACATAGGCTCATGGTTTAAACTCACAAATAAATAAAAGAGATGAAAACATTGGCTCATGGTTTAAACTCACAAATAAATACAAGAGATGAAAACATTGGCTCATGGTTTAAACTCACAAATACAAGAGATGAAAACATTGGCTCATGGTTTAAACTCACAAATACAAGAGATGAAAACATTGGCTCATGGTTTAAACTCACAAATACAAGAGATGAAAACATTGGCTCATGGTTTAAACTCACAAATACAAGAGATGAAAACATTGGCTCATGGTTTAAACTCACAAATACAAGAGATGAAAACATAGGCTCATGGTTTAAACTCACAAATACAAGAGATGAAAACATAGGCTCATGGTTTAAACTCACAAATACAAGAGATGAAAACATAGGCTCATGGTTTAAACTCACAAATAAATAAAAGAGATGAAAACATTGGCTCATGGTTTAAACTCACAAATAAATAAAAGAGATGAAAACATTGGCTCATGGTTTAAACTCACAAATAAATACAAGAGATGAAAACATTGGCTCATGGTTTAAACTCACAAATACAAGAGATGAAAACATTGGCTCATGGTTTAAACTCACAAATACAAGAGATGAAAACATTGGCTCATGGTTTAAACTCACAAATAAATACAAGAGATGAAAACATTGGCTCATGGTTTAAACTCACAAATAAATACAAGAGATGAAAACATTGGCTCATGGTTTAAACTCACAAATACAAGAGATGAAAACATTGGCTCATGGTTTAAACTCACAAATACAAGAGATGAAAACATTTGCTCATGGTTTAAACTCACAAATAAATACAAGAGATGAAAACATTGGCTCATGGTTTAAACTCACAAAGTAATAAAAGAGATGAAAACATTGGCTCATGGTTTAAACTCACAAATACAAGAGATGAAAACATTGGCTCATGGTTTAAACTCACAAAGTAATAAAAGAGATGAAAACATTGGCTCATGGTTTAAACTCACAAATAAATAAAAGAGATGAAAACATTGGCTCATGGTTTAAACTCACAAATACAAGAGATGAAAACATTGGCTCATGGTTTAAACTCACAAATAAATACAAGAGATGAAAACATTGGCTCATGGTTTAACTCACAAATAAATACAAGAGATAAAAACATAGGCTCATGGTTTAAACTCACAAATAAATACAAGAGATGAAAACATTGGCTCATGGTTTAAACTCACAAATAAATACAAGAGATGAAAACATTGGCTCATGGTTTAAACTCACAAATACAAGAGATGAAAACATTGGCTCATGGTTTAAACTCACAAATACAAGAGATGAAAACATTGGCTCATGGTTTAAACTCACAAATACAAGAGATGAAAACATTGGCTCATGGTTTAAACTCACAAATACAAGAGATGAAAACATTGGCTCATGGTTTAAACTCACAAATACAAGAGATGAAAACATAGGCTCATGGTTTAAACTCACAAATACAAGAGATG